GTCCCCGCGAGCCGCCAGGTCCGGAGGCGGGAGGCGGGAGCCCGGCCGCGGGATTTTCTGGCAGCGACGGGGAAGGCGAGAGGCCGACGCTGGCGCGCGCCCCCCGCTCCCCCTCCGAGCCTTCATCCGCAGGGAGGGAGAGGGGGTTCCCTGGCCAGGGACGACGCCTTGCTGCCCCCAGGAACAGCCTCCTTGGCGCCGGCCTGCCCCCCAGTTAGACCAGGAGCAAACTTTGTCACCATCAGAAACCTTGTCTTCTTCAGACAGACAGAAAACAAAAAGACCTTGCAGGACATGTATAGTCAAAGTTTTTTCAACCCTGAAATTGTCTTTCATTGGACAGGATGAAGGCCATGAGAAGAGTGGGAGCAAGAGACTCCCTGCGTTTTGTTTCCTTTATGTTATAAATGGGGATGGCAAATGCAAAGCACAAGTTGCTGCAATTTAGACCAAATGCCAAAGATTAAATTATAAGCACTTTCTAGGAAGTTACATCGAAGGGTATCAGCAAGGAAGTGGCCCTAGTGGGCATATGTCAGCAGTTTTTAGCAATTTTTGTTTTTTCCAAACCAGAGGCTCCATGGTACAGGCGAGCTTCCTGCAATGAGATGCAATTCAGACAAGTGACACTCCCAGCTGGACAGAAGGGGTCACTTACAGGCTCGGAGGCTGTAACAGACAAGCTGCGCTGCACAGGTACTGAGCCCTTCTCTCAGAACATTGCTGGCTTGCACTACTCAGCTGTACTACTTTTTGAGTCAGGCTTAACCACGGTAACTCTACGCACCTGGTTCAGTGCCCCTGAACATCCCTGCAGGTGGACACTGCTACCTGTGGACTGCCTGGGACCAGTGTCCACGGCCGTGGGAGGCCAGAATTCTTCCATCTAAAGGGACACTGCATCACCCTCAAGACAAGACCTAAGGAGGTGAACAGGGAGGAGGCGAGAGGGTTAGGTTAGATTTCTACAGGCCTCCACGAGTTGAAAGGATCTACCATCACAAAGTGGAGAAAGCACAGGGCAAGTAGGACCAGCATTTCCTTGAGCTAGAGACACCTTGCAGAACCCAGCATCTCCCTTACACAGCTGCCTTGGCCCCCACAGGTCAGGCCTGTGCATGGCAG